ATGAGTAAACCTCGTTCCACTTTTAAAGAATCTTCCTTAGATTATTATTGTTTATTGATTGTTCACTATATGGGAATACCTAATTATTTTATTCAAATGAATAATTAAAAAACAAAATTAACCGGTTTATCTCGTTGATTCAAAAAAATTCCAATTGCATTTTTTTAATTTCGTTTTATGTGATTAATTATAATTTAGTTATATAGCTGATCATGGAATTTTATTACAGTTAATTAATTAGCTGAGGTGACTAATTGTCGAATCATCTCACACATATTTATTAAATATTGGAATTTTAATAATTTTATTAATGAAATTTATTTTATTTTTTGAATTTTAGTTAATTTTTAAATCAAATATTTTTTAATTAAAAAATGAAAATTTTTAATAAAAAAATTTCTATTAATTTTTATTTGTTGTTGACATATATAATTATTAAATATAATTACTTGTACTAAATTCATACATTTTAGAAATATTTTTTTTTTATATTAAGAATATTATTATATTATTACTATGATACATTGAAAACATCCGAAGAAGCGATTGGGAATTCCGATAAAAAGAAGAAAAATTACAAATATTTTGTTAGCCGTGAAATTTTTTCTCGAGGAGAATTTTTATCCGGTTAATGACACTATTTGACCGCGACGTCATGCAATTATTAAAATTTGGCACAATGCCACTGTTTGTAATACTCTGTTTGAATTTTCGATTGTCGCTATTTCGAATCATGAATTAGTGGATGTAAATGAACTTGCAGGCCAAATTAACGGAAATGATTAAAATTGACGTTTCCTCTCACCAAAAAAGCCTTCTTTTTTTCTTTATATATTAATTTGCACCTTATTTTTTGCCAGTAGCACTTAAATTATTTTTTTGTAAATATTTGTTTTTTTATTAGAATTCATCTATTTTCAATATACAAGTTTAATTTTTATCCTAAAAGAAATTTAAGTATTTTCAAAATTAATAAATAATTATTAAAAATTAATAAATTAATAAAAAATTCAATTATTTTCAAAATTTTTAATAAAAAATTAATTATTTTCAAACTTTTTAACAAAAAATTCAATTATTTTTAAAACTTTTAACAAAATATTCAATTATTTTCAAAATTTTTAATAAAAAATTCAATTATTTTCAAAAATATTAAAAAAATTTCGCATAAATTCAATTGTTTTTATAAAAAATAAAATTCTGCTCTGAAATTCAATCATTTTCAAAAATAATAAAGTTTTCAAAGGGAATTCAATTATTTGAATAAATTTTGATGAAATTCTTCTCAGAAATTCAATTATTTTCATAAATAACGTTTTCACATAACTTCAATTATTTTTAAAAATTTTAATTCAATTAATAAAAATTTCCATAAAATTTTTATAAAATTCTTCTAAGAAATTTAATTGTTTTTAAAAATTTTAACTAAATTCTTTGCAAAAATTCAATTGTTTTCGAAAATTCTAAAATACTTCTCTAAAATTCAATTACTTTCAGAATTAAAAAAATTTTCATGGGAATTCAATTATTTAGATAAATTTTTATAAAATTCTTCTTAGAAATTCAATTATTTTTAGAAATAATAAAATTGTTCGCAGAAATTTAATTATTTTTCAAAAATTTTAACAAAATTCTTCGCAAAAATCAACTATTTTGATAAATAATAAAATTGTTCTCAAAAATTCAATTAATTTTCATAATTTTAATAAAATTCTTCCCAAAAATTCAATTAACTTTAATAAATACTAAATTCCGTTCTTAAAAATTCAATTATTTTCCAAATTTTTAATAGAATTATCTAAAAAAAATTTAATTATTAAACAATTTACAGAAAACTTTTATTAAATTCTTCCAAGAAATTTAATTGTTTTTAAAAATTTTCACTAAATTCGTTTCAAAAATTCAATTATTTGAATAAATTTTGATAAAATTCTTCTCAGAAATTCAATTATTTTCATAAATAAAGTTTTCACGGAAATTCAATTATTTTTAAAAATTTTTATAAATTTCGTTCGCAAAAATTCAATTATTTTCCAAAATTTTAAAATAATTCTCTAAAAAATCCAATTGTTTTTAAAAATTTTAACTAAATTCATTTGCAAAAATTCAATTATTTTCGAAAATAATAAAATTCTTCTCTAAAATTTAATTATTTTCAGAAATAAGAAAATTTTCACAGGAATTTAATTATTTCAATAAATTTTAATAAAATTTTTCTTAGAAATTCAATTATTTTCACAAATAATAAAATTGTTCGCCGAATTTCAATTATTTTTCAAAAATTTTAACAAAATTCTTCGCAAAAATTTAATAACTTTAATAAATACTAAATTTCGTTCGCAAAAATTCAATTATTTTCGAAAATTTTAATATAATTTTCTAAAAAAAATTCAATTATTAACAATTTTCATAAAACTTCTAAGAAATTTAATTGTTTTAAAAAATGTTAACTAAAGTCTTTGCAAAAATTCAATTATTTTCATTAGTTATTAAAATTCTTCTCTAAAATTCAAATATTTTCAGAAATAAGAAAATTTTTACAATAATTAAATTATTTGAATAAATTTTTTAAAATTCTTCGCAAAAATTCAACTATATTTATAAGTTATAAAATTGTTCTTAGGAATTCAATTATTTTTCAAAATTTTTTAAAAATCCGTTGGAAGAATTTAATTATTTTCAAAAATTTTGATAAAATCCTTATAAAAATTAATGAATTTTATTTTTAAAAATTATTATTAAATATAATTGTTTTTTTTTGAAAGAATTCTAACAAAAAATCTGGAAAATAATTGAATTTTAAAAAAATTTGAAATTATTGTTTTTACCAGATTATGAAAAAAGTGAATATTTTTTATGGAAATAATATTAATAATAATAAATATTTTTCAGTACATAATTTTTCCACAACAGAATATAAAAATATAAATAACAACGCATTGAATATTTTTTGCTCATCTAAAATGGAAGTTTATTGTGTAAATTAATATTTCTTCATTAAAATTATCTTCCTATGAAGCTTTACTTTCAAAACTTTATAATATAAAAGCAAACTTTTAGGATATAGTCAGTTTTAGATGTATATATTTATGAAAATGGAAAATGAGAACAACTATATAGAATTACACTTCATAAACTCTGATTTTTGAATGAATGAATGAAAAAAAGAAAAATTTGTGGATTTCGCAAAAAAAAATTTAATTCTATCATAACAATTATTGCTTGGAAACTCTTTCTTTTCTTTTCTTTTTATTTCAATTTGTTCTCGTTTCATTAATTTTACTCTTCCTCATCGTGTGCATTATTAAAGTCATAAGAGAGATAAACTCATCTTTATGAACAGGAAACATTCATTATATCAATTATTATTACAATTTACGAGATATTTTTTATTTATTTATTTTTTCTCTTTCGACGAAAAAGGATTTTTTATGTGAAAATCTGGAGAAAATTAAAATTTTTAATATTTAAATATTTAAATATTTTTTTTAATATTGTACTATTTTACTATTTTACTATTTTAATATTTTAGTAATTTACTATTTTACTATTTTAATATTTTACTATTTTACTATTTTACTATTTTAATATTTTAATCTTTTAGTATTTTACTATTTCACTGTTTTACTGTTTTACTATTTTAATATTCTAATATTTTAGTCATTTACAATTTTACTATTTTAATATTTTATAATTTTAATATTTTAAATGAGACGATGGCCATAGTCGTTAAGGCACGTGAGCTAGTGAATGGAACTGAGGGTCAGTGGTTCGATCCCTCCCGACCCTCAGTGATAAAAAAAAATAATAATAATACTAAAACAAAAAAAAACAAATTTTAATATTTATTTACTTATTTATTTATAGACGGAATATTTGTATTTTTAATTATAATTCACTAGAAAAAGAATTTTTTTTCTAGATAATAATAGAAATGAAAATCGAATGCGTGACGATTTTTGACAAAAATATCAATGACAATAATTTGATTCCGATTTGCAAATTTATAGCAGATGATGACCGGTTAATTTTATTCTTTGATTCTGAGGGACGCTATAAACAATTCAGATGGCCTTAAAGATTCGTGACTGAAAATTTGATTCCTTTAAGTTCTTTTTATATGAAGAAAAAATGCGCTTAAATAATTTTTTAAGGGAATCTTTTCTTCTCTAAATGTTTTTTATTATTTTTATATTATTTTCTTTTTAGTTTTCTGATTTTTTTTTTATTTATTTTTACAATAATATTTTTTTTTATTTTAACATTAATATATTTTTTTTTATTTATTTTAACATTAGTATTTTTTTTATTTATTTTAACACTAATATTTCTATTATTTATTGTATTATTAATTATTTTATTATTTTCTGATACAGTAAGAAATTTTTCTAAAATATCTTTTTGTACTTTATTATAGAAAATTAAAAAATCAAAGTTTTTACTGAAATAAAAATTAATTATTCTCACAATAACATTTTATAATTGGGAAGAAAATTGTTTTGAAAAAATTGTGGTTTAATTTCCCCACCTGAGAACGCCAAGGTCACCACTAGGTGGCTAGACGCCATCTAGCGGTGACCTTGGCGTTCTCAGGTGGAGAATTTCTTTTCAGGCTAATTTTTAGCCTTAGAATTAATTTCTTCACTAAATAGTTACTAAACTATGAAATATTTTGCTAAAATATTTAAATAATAATTAAAATAATTTTAAAATAGTAAAATAGTTGAAATAATAATAGTAATTGGAGAGTTGAAAGAATTTTTCTCTAAAAATACATAAAAAAAAAATTTTTTTCCTGAATGTAAATATATATTTACACCGAAATATTTGCCGAGGCGGGTAATTGGATGCCGGTGTATAACAGAGAGTGTTGAGTTTTTTGAGAGGGCATTGTCGCGGGTCATTTAAATAAATAAAAAAAAATTCTCTCATAGTATTTTAGGAATGAAGAGAGAAGATGTTAGAAAGAATAAATAATTCGAGGAGAAGAGAAATAAGGTTTGCGTCGTGTCGTGTGGTGGGTGAGATGAGGATGGCGAGGTCGCGAACACCAGACGTTTACAATTTTCAATGTTGAAAGCCAGTGCCAGTCTAGCACGAGCTGCCGCTCAGGAGACACCCGTAGGGGACTTGCTTGTTTCAAGGTAGGCCGCGCGAATTTTTTTTCTCTCTCTCACTCTCCCTTGAAGTCAATTTTTTTTTTTTTTTCAATTCAAGTATATAAAGCCGTAAACAAACAACGAGGAAAAAAATTGATTTACAAAAATTGAATTAAAATAACCTTTAAAAATAATTATTACATTTTTTTTTAATTTTTCCATCAAAATTTAATATTCTCTGTTGATTAGTTTTTCGGTTTAGCGGTTAAAACGAACAATTGATTAAAAAATAAAAAAAATAAAAAAATATTAAATAAATAGTAAACAATAATTATTAAATAAAAAAATAAAATAATTATTCAATGAATAAACGAAAGGACTGAATGATAAAAATTAACTTGAAAACTAATTTTTCCAAAAAATGTGCAAAATAATTAATTGAAATAATAAAAAGCGAATAATTATAAAATTGTTTAAAGAACGAAATATTAATTGAAAAATTAAATAATAGGAATAATAAAAAATAAATAGTAAATAAATAATAATTATAATAATTTTACAAAATAATAATAATAAAAAACAAATATAAAATAATAATAAATAAATAAATAATAACAATAAAATAACAATAAAAAGTGAGTGAAAAATCGATTTAAAAAAAGCGGAATAAAAATTTTGTGAATGAAACAACGAAAAAAAATGCAAAAGTGACAATAATTGAGTGACAAGTTATTCAATTTTGTGGGGTTGTTTTTGTACCACAAAAAAACTGGCTTGAAAACAATATTAATGGAATGTTATAAAAGTATAAAGAATAAAAGTTTCAGTGTGAAAATAATTTTACAGTGAATTTAAAGAACCAGATTGTTTAAAAATTGCGGTTAAAAAATAAAATTCGAGAAAGTAAAAAAATTGTATAAATATTTGCCTTTGAATTCCAAGTGTCGAATATTATCCACAGAAAAACGATAGAATAAAATTTATTTATTTATTTTTTTTTAAATTACTAATTGAAAATTATTAATCGAAAATTAATAATTTAAAATTCTCAATTAAAAATGAATAATTGAAAATTCACAATTAAAAATTAATAATTGAAAATTAATAATAGAAAATTACCAATTGAAAATTAATAATTGCAAAATACCAATTGAAAATTCCCAATTGAAAATTAATAGTTGAAAATTCACAATTAAAAATTAATAATTGAAAATTAATAATAGAAAATTACCAATTGAAAATTAATAATTGCAAAATACCAATTGAAAATTACCGATTAAAAATTCTCAATTGAAAATTAATAATTGAAAATTAATAATAGAAAATTACTAATTGAAAATTACCAATAGAAAATTAATAATTGAAAATTACCAATTTATTGAAAACAACCAATTATTGAAAAATACCCAAAAAAAAAATGCAAAAATTAAGAAAAACTGTTCAGAACAATTTTTCAATTATCAAATAATGTTTTCCTTTTTCCATCGCATTGAAAACACGAAAAAAATGTTGTCTTGGAATTCAAAAACATAATTGTGATTATAACAATTTTTAAAGATACAAATATGTAAAAAAAAGTAATTATAACTGTACAAAAGAATTTTTCTTTTTTTTAAACAAATAAAGAATAACTGTTAATTCTTTTTTTTTCATTATTCAGAAAAGAAAAGAAACGGGGAAATATATAAGAAAAAGGTAATTAGCGTACATGAGTAATAAGAGCATTTTACAAAGAGATGATTAAAACTATTAAAAAAATATCGCGCCGCCAAGCCGTCTAAAGTGGCACGCACACCGGTGATAGTTGTCCCCGAACGTGAAAAATAAAAGTCGAAGGAAAGAAAGAGATTTTCCTTCGATAGAGTATAATAAATTTATATTTTCTGTATAAATTGTCATATTCACTGTAAATTTTTTATTTTTTTATAATTATTTTTTCTTTCTTTCTTTTTCTCTCTCAAATATTTTTTTTTATTTCTATTTTCTATTTTTTCTCCACTTTAGTAAAGGGAGAAATAGAAAAGAGAAAAAAAAGAATTTAATATTATTAAATTAAATTAATCATTTATTATCAATTATTATAAAATAAAATAAAAATATTACTTAAATAGAAATAGAAGAGAGAAAAAATTAAAATAAAGAAAAATATGTTTTCTCTGGAAAAAAAATTGTGGAAGGAGAAAAAGAAAGAAAGAAAAAATAATTATACACACTATGCGAAAATGTATCGCGCATTCCTTTCTATTTTCCATTATATTGTCATTTTTTTATCGTCCTCAAATTGTCGAGTCATATACATATTGACACACAAGTGTATAAAACTCTTTGTCGGTTATAAGATGACATAAATTATATAAAGAGAAAGTGAGCGAGATTCCGACAGAAAGAGAATCAAAAGAAAAGTCGGCTAACTGTCTTCGATTCTCTCTCTAACGGCTGCAAACCGTGTTTATTTTCTTTTAATATTTATTATCGCGGTAATAATTTTATTTTATTTTATTTTCACGCCTTGGGTAATTTATCTTATTTTTTCGACTTTTTGCCACTATTTTTTTTTTAAAATGCGTCTTTTTTCAATTTATTTTCATAAAATGCGACTATTTTCAATTTTTTTGACTGATTTTCGAATTAATACGATTTTTGCGACTATTTTCAAAATTAGAATTAAAGGAAAATGTTAAAAACGTTTTTTTTGAAAATCATCAGGAAAATTTAGATAAATACGAAATAGATCATAAATTTTAAAAAAAATTTAATGAAAATTGAAATTTTTTGCGTGTAAAAAATAAATAATACTTAATTTTGGCAAAAGTGAAAATAGAGCAAAAAAGGGTGGAAAAAAAAAATAAATTAATACTCATTTCTCCCCTCGATCCTCATTTACCTAATCAAGAGTCATAAAATTCAAGTCTTTTCTTAATTAAGAATAAAGCATAATTATAATTCACTGATACTGTATAATATGTATATTGGAGTCAGTCGCATTCACAGTCAACGAGGGGGTTATCTCTTTAACGATGTTTATTCCACTCGGGAGTTGAAACGATGCCCTCATCGCGTGTAATAAACTAATACAAAACATTAATTATTTTCATTCATTGTTTGTGGCCGAGAAAAAAAATTACTTTCTTCTTTTTTTTTACCGAAAATGCAAAAATTTACAAAAAGGAGCAAAAAATAATTTTTTTCAAAAAGAGAAAAAAATTATTCGACGGAATTTTTTTTGATTAAAGTCTAGTAATATTGATGAAAATGAATTTAAAAAGAAAAAAAATTTTGTTCAATAATTTGTCATTTTTTTTTACATAAGTTATGTATGCAAAAAAAAACGACAAATAGGCCAATAAATATGTAAGTTAACTGCGTCTTTCATCCATATACAAGGGACTTAATTTGCTTAAGCATTTGTATATTATTATGTCAATGTGATACGTCAATATTAAACTTATCATACTTGTTTACTGACTTCATTTTTCGCATTCAATTCCTCAAATCTATAGAGAAAAATTTTCCTAAATTTAAATTTCTCGAATGATTTTTTCTATTCAATTTCATAAATTTAAGCCAAGAAGGAAAAAAAAATTTCTTTTATTCAACAATTTAAAAAAAAAAAAAAAAACATTTGAAGTTTGACAAAAAAAAATCGTATTGACTCGCGACTAAAATGTTTCGATAAACAGTATTTTTAACATTGAGTCGCAATAGTTGGACAACGAGAATAAATCATTTTTTTTGTTTTGTTAACACGCAATAACACTTTTTAGATATGTGATCTTGTTTGAGAGGGAAAAAAAATCATCATATTGCTTATAAAAAAAATTGATTCTTTTGAAATAAAAAAATTGATTCTAAAAAAAGAATATTCGACAGGAAAAAAAAGCAAGATTCACTTCCTCTTTTACATACATTATAGAAAATATGCAAAAAAGCAAAGTAAATCCTGAGAAAGGATAAAATCGACTAAAATCGATTAAAATTGATTAAAACTGATTAAAATTGATTACTAGAATCAATTTAATCTTTCTGTAAATTTTTATAATTTTTCTAATTAAAAAAAAATCCCCTTTTTTTGAAATACAATAAAATTTTCTTTTTTGGATACTAAAACTTTAATAAAAAAAAAGAGTAATTAATTTTTGTCTTTAAAAAAATATTTCGTTTTTACTATTTAGTCACACTAATCAACTTAATTAGAAAAGAGAACGTTTCCTGTCCTTTTTTCTTTGCAAAACTTATATAAAATAAATTTAATTCAGAAATATTTTTTTGCTGATGAATTCTGTCAGGTGCGAGAGGCCAAAGAACCATTCAAATTATGTCATCGTTACTTTTTTAAATGTCAAGGTATTTTTTTTACAAGAAAACGCCTCAGTTTCAATTTAAAATCTCAACAAACGCGTGTAAAAAATTAATCCACGAAAAATTCACTTAATTGTTGAATTTCTCGTGGGTTAATTTTTTACACGCGTAAAAATTATTAAAAACAGTAATAATAAATCAAAAAAAGTTAATAACAAATGATAAAAGAGTAATAATAAATAATAAATAATAAACAATAAATAATAAATAATAAATAATAAAATAATAAGTGATTATAAATAATAAAAAAAAATATTATTTTTACTATTATTACTTAATTATTAATAATTTACACACTCTCTTTAATTAAATAACTTTTTAATTACTAGAATGAATTTATTTTGTCAATCCACTAATTAATTAGTTTATTAATTCCCTCATTTAAACAATTATTCCATTTGAAAAAAACAAAAGAATAATTCATTAATGAACTAGTAACATAAAAAAAATTAATCAACGAAAAGAGAATTAAGTAATTATAAAAAATACAAAAACATTTCTCTCAGCGCAACTTCAATATTTAAAATAGAAATTAATTATTCATTTTAACTAAAAAAGCAAAAAGAAAAAAAAACAGCGTAAAATTGCCATTTATCAAAAAAAAAAACTGACACTTTGTCATTGTTGATAACCAGTTAATAAAAATCTGAAAGATGAGTTTTCCAAGCAAAGTAATTTTTTTCAAACAATGTAATTAAATTATGAAAAAGGAGAGATTTACACTCTAGCAATATAAATGTTTTCCAATTTTTTTGTCCCCCTTTCATGACGAGACAATATTTTTGTTATATTATTATTATTCATTTTCAACAAAAAAAAAAAAGAAAAAGAAAAACGAAAAAAATAATATATTTCTAATAATAGTTTCTTTTAATTACCAACTTTTAATAAATGTTCATTTTTCTTTTTCGTTTTTGATAACAAAAAAAATAACGTGCACAGTTAATTATTATCAGTTGATATATTTTCCTGCTATCTCTATAATATAACGAAGAACATTTTTGATTAGGAAAAAAAGGAAGAAGAAAAATTTAAATAAATTCAAGATAATGGAAAATTGTGGAAAAAAACTAAATGAAAATTAACTTGGGAAACGAAAATTAAATTTAACTGCATTTTCGTGACAATTTTTACGAAATTTGGAATTATTATAGATAATGATGATTTTTTTTCCTCTCAGAACAGTTCTTTTTATTTTAAACTGAATAATAATAATTAGTTATTAATTTAATAATAATAATTAGTTGTTATTAATTTAATAATAATTATTTATTACTTATTAATTTAATAATAATTATTAACTATTTAGTTTATTTTTACTTTCTTCAACTTTTTATATATTAATGAAGAAAAAATATTTAGCAAATAAAATCTTAACTCTGGCAAAACGCCAGAGTTAATATTTTATTTGCTAAATATTAACATTTGTTTTTTTTATTTACATTTATTTAATAATTTATATTATTGTATTATTATATTTTAATTTAATACTTAATTGAGATGACAATTTAGTAAAAGTTTTTGTAAACGAATATTTATCTAATAATAATAATACCGAAAGTCTGAAAAGAATTTACTAGATGCGAGTAAAACAAAGAAAGTAATACTAGATGCGCAGTAGTTGTCTCTATTACTCTAATACGTTGCCATGGTAACCGAGCACGGACCAAAGGGGCGTGTCGCCACCGTCTCCATGGCAACGTACAGGAGCAAGAAAGACAGCACCATTAGAATTCAAATACTTATTTCTCCTAACAAACTTTATACTATTTTATGCTGCAAGACTTTCCTAATCACTACGAATTTTTTTAATTCTTTTAAACATGCAACATTTTTTATTTCTGTTCACAATTTTTACTTATTTAGTAATTATTTTTTATTTATTATTAATTATTATTAACCCCTTAACAGCGATGACGAATATTTGACGGCCAAAATCTTCGTCATCCGCAGTTAGGGGTCCCTACACAAACTATGAGATGGACAACACTGTTTTGTTCTGATTTTGAAGTTAACTGTTGATTACTTACTACCAACGAACTTTAAATAAAGAAATATTTAATAAACAATTTTTCCTTTTTCAGTTGATGAACAAGAGAAGATGCCTGGCCACCGTCAGCCTAAGTCTCTGGTAGACCTTAGTTTGGGGCGTGTGTGCCAACAACTCGACGGGACGTGCCGACGTCTACAGCAACTATCACAAGAATCGCCAGCCGCTCAGGTCCTCGTCTACGCCAAGCAGAATATCAGGCCTTACTACGTTAACGCTCTGCCAGCTCAGCTTCGTTCCCGAGTCATAAACGAAACCTCCCGAATGTTGGATGGACCCTCCACTGATGGCTCAACCCTAATCTCCGGACCAGCTCCACTCTACCTTCACGCCCTCCTCCTAGGTCACGACATCAAACGAATCAAAGTCAATCTCTGCTGCTACTACGGCTGCAGTCACCAAACATCCCTCCTCAAACTCCTAGCAACCGAAGGAATCGGCCTCGAGTCCCTAGAACTCGCCCGATCAGCCCTTCTTCGCCTCGACTGCAAACTCCTCCGCACATCTCTCGTCAGCATGAAGAACCTCCAAAGCCTAACCCTCCGCAACATCGCCAGCGACGCCGTTCTCCAAGTAGTAGGCAAAGCCTGCCCGAAACTCGTCGTCCTCGACGTCGCCTGCTCCCGCCAAGTAACCGACACCGGCCTAAAGCAACTCCTCCTCCAAGTCGAATTCCGCGACAAACTCCCAGACCTAACAACCAGAGACACCACAAGTTGGTCCAAACTCAAGACCCTAATATCCAAACTAAAAAACTCCCGACGCGACAAAAAGGACAAGCAGATCCTCCTGGAGTATTACGATCGTCGGAACTTCCTCTGCGACACCCTTCGAGTGCTGAACGTCGCCAACACCGGAGTGACCAGCGCCGGCGTCCTCCTCGCCCTCGAACACGTTCCCCGTCTCGAATCCCTCGCCGACTACAACCACATGGGTCGTGTAGTCGAAATAATGAACCGCAATGTCATAAACCTAAAAACCCCCTTCAAACTAACCCAAGCCCGAAGTTCCCGAACCACTCCCTCAAGGCTCGAACTCCTAGCCCAAGCCTGTCCCCTAGTCGAACGCCTCCACATATCCGAACCTCATCATCCACCCGAAGCCCTAAGACTCTTCCCCTTCGTCACCTCACTCAGCATTCACGGCGTCCCCCCACAAAAGGAATGGCTCACCGGCTTCTATCACTATCTCACCACCCACGGATCCAATCTCCGAAAACTCGACATTCGCCTAACCCAAAGCGAACAACCCATAGATCTCGACCTAAAGGAAATTTTCACCAGTTGTCCCAATCTCCGAACATTGACCAAAGACGGTTGTAATGTGATCTGGTCCGAGGGTGCCGATCCCCAGCCTTTGAGAAATCTCCAAAAAGTCCAACTCGGTAGAAGCTGCAGTGCGGCAACAATTCTAAAACTCTTATCGCTGGCTCCTGAACTGAACGCTCTTCATGTTCACAGTTGCTTCGATCTCTCCGACGAGCATATCGAAAAGCTGCTCGAAAAAAAGAGCCAAGAGTCGAAGAGTCTTGTACAGAATCTGACGTGTTTCTACATTTACGAGGCGAGCAAAGTCTCCGCGACGATGGTCCTGAACATGTTCAAGAGCTGTCGTAAATTGAAGAAGATTGGAAATCTCACCAATTGGGGCCTAGATTGTGATGGAGTGAGGATGCTGCGAAATGCTCTGGCGAAGGAGAATCTTGACGTTGATCTGTGTCCAGGTTCTCATTGGTTCTGGAGTAATTGCATACAGTAGAGGAGTGGAATTTTAGTGGATGAAAGTGACCGAAAATTTAATGTCTAAACAAAACTACTGCCATTGGGGGTCTTTGAAGAGAAGAAGTCTTTAAGTCTTCAAAAGTGTTTTAAAGTCTTTAAGCCTTCAAAAGTGTTTTAAAGTCTTTAAGTCTTCAAAAGTGTTTTAAAGTCTTTAAGCCTTCAAAAGTGTTTTAAAGTCTTTAAGTCTTCAAAAGTGTTTTAAAGTCTTTAAGTCTTCAAAAGTGTTTTAAAGTCTTTAAGGTCTTTAAAAAGTCTTTAAAAAGTCTTCAAAAGTCTGGAAAAAGTCTTTTAAGTTCTCCATTTGGATTCCGCTGGATGACTACGAACAGTTTCTGCTATTTTTAACCTGGTGGAATAAAAAGTGATGAAGCATAATAAACAATCGTTTTCGAAATGAAAATGCTAACGGATCTTGAAGAAGTGAATAAGATTTTTGGGTTCAGTTGGTAAAGTCACTGAAAGTTCCTCTCGGGGTTTCAAAATTAAGAGGTCCCTGAAGTTGGCGTCGACGTCGAGCGTCAAAAAACGGTTTTTTCTTCTTCAAACTTGAAGAACCTGCAATTTTTCAAGGATTGTAGGGTAAAAAAGTATTCAAAAGAAGTTTTCAACTCCCTAGGGAAATAAAAAAAGGAAAATTAGTAACGTTTTTGGCACTAAAAACCCCAAAGTCTTTTTTTCCTCAAAATTGGAGAATATGGCAATTTTTCGAGGCTTTTAGGGTCAAAAAGTATTCAAGAGAAGTTTTTAACTCCCTGGGGGAATAAAAGAAAGAAAATTAGTCACGTTTTTATGATTAAACTTCAAAACCTTTAAAAAAAAATTCTGACGCTACGACAAAAAAAGTTGTTCAATTTTTTCTTTTTGCGAAAAAAAATTCTTTTTACATTTTTAACCTAAAATAAAAATTCTTTTAGATCTTTTAACCTAAAATAAAAATTGTTTTAAACCTTTCAACCTAAATTTAAAATTCTTTTTAATTTTTTTAACCTGAAATCAACCGAAAAAGTGGTTCGATTTTTTCTGTTTGCGAAAAAAAATTCTTTTCACATTTTTAACCTAAAAAAAAATTCTTTTAGATCTTTTAACCTAAAATAAAAAATTATTTTGAATATTTTAACCTAAAATAAAAATTCTTTTCACACTTTTGCCTTAAATTAAAAATTCTTTTAACTACTCTTTTAATCTAAAATCACCTAAAAAGAAAGGTTTAATTTTTTTCTTTTCGCGAAAAAAAGTTTTGGATGCTCAGCGTCGACACAAAATTCAGAGCGCCAGGAAGATTCGAACCCCTGACGCTGAGATCCACTGTCAGTCACTTTACCAACTCGACCACTACAAATATCGTCTAAAAATCATTTTCGCAACGTCGTGACAGCAGTTCAGACCAGAATAAACTGGTGATTTCGAAGTTTTTCTAAAATTAAAAATCGACTAGTTCCGATTTGTTATTTTTTAATTTACAAACACTATTCATAATAAAAAAATTAAAAATAACCGAATTTTAAAATTTTTTCTACATTTCTATGAATAACTGAAAATCAATGGCGATTTCTCCATAAAATCTGAAGAATGAAACTTTTGTAATAAAATTACAAAAGTAAACAACGACCATGACATAATTGGCTGCTGTTCGATTAACACTGTCATATTTTTTTATTTTTTGCTTTCTCAATAGACTGTACATTTATCAGTATTACAATGTAAAAAATTTCTTCGAGTTTGAAAAATTAAAAACAAAATATTCACATTGAAAAAATTGTTTAAAGAAAAATTTCTTTTTTTCGAATTTTCAATTTCAATTCTATACATATAATTGTCAAAATGATAGTCAATTTTTTCTACAATGTGTACCTACTATAGAATCAGTGATTTGTCGAGAAAATTTCAATTTTTTGTATAGAGGAAAAATATTGTGATATTTAAAAAAAATTCGATAAATTGGAGTAAAAAAAAACATAACGAAAAAAAAGTAGTTTTAAGAAAAATATTTTGTAGATCGTGATTGATAATAAACTTTCAGTTGTTGATATCATTATTCACGGTATATAGAAGTATGAAAAATAAAAGTGCTCTGCTGATTATAATCGAATGAAAGTAATATCGAATTATCGACTAATATTGATTTTAGATAATAAAGATTTTCATACAACAAATAATTCTCGTTTTTATGCACTTTTATTATTATTTTTTTTTATTTTTATTATTAATTTTTTTTTTATATTTAAAACCTTCTTCAAAAAATTTCATAATTTTATCAAAATTTTGAAATTTAAAATTAAATTCAAAATGAAAATGTAGAAATTTTCAGGAAATTTCAAAATATTTTATAAAAATGTAAATTCAAATTTTTAAATTATTATTATCAGTAAAAGTAATGAATTTTTCGCTCTAATTAAAATTATTTTCTTTAAAATTTCCAAAATTTATCATTCAAATGAAATTTATTATTTAATAAAATGAAATTTAAATTTAATTATTATTAAAAAATAATAAAATATTAATTTAAAAAAAAAATATATAAATTATTATTTCCTATTTAAATGAATAATTAATAATTCTGCATTTCATTAAAAAATGAACTGAATTAATAATTAAACTGAATTAATAATTGAACCGAATTAATAATTGAACCGAATTAATAATTGAACGGAATTAATTAATAATTACAAGAACTGTCATTAATAATCACGAATGAAATTAATAATTAATAATTGAATAATAATCAGAAATTATGTATTCAATCAATAATCACCTAATTTTGCATTTGATAATTAATTGCAGGAAAGTTAAAATTTTTCAACAATAAATTATTTAATAATCTAAATTTAAAAAAATAATTGTTTAAAAAAATAATGTTTAAAAAATAGATTCTTTTGTTTTTAAAAAGTAGATAATTTTGTTTCTCGCCGAAAAAAAAAATTATTTTCGATGAAAAATAATTTATTTCGATCGTTAAAATTTTTCATCGCAGCTTTTTTTTTCTTTTTTGTGCACACGGATAAAAATAATTTAAAGAATTTTGTTTTTTATAATTTTCTAAATTTGAAATTTCTTTTTTAACGCACTCACCTCGGAAAAACCGTGCGACTGAAGAAGAAAATTTATGAGTTTTGTTTCTGTTTGAAAAATCTTATAGGTCATGTGAAGTTTTTTTGCCGGTGGGTTTTCCGGAGGCGTTGACAGAGCTGAGCATCTAAAAAAGAATGAAAACATTCATTTTTAACAAAAAAAAAAAACAACGAAGAAAAAAAAGGAATTCAAACATTAAAATATTGCGAAAATTAATTGTTTAGTTTAATTGGCGTGTAAATATAGTAAATATTTCAAATTTCAAATTATTTTCCCAAAAAAAATAAATAAATAAATAAAAAAAAATTCTAGTGTAAATAAAATATTAAAAAGAGAATAATTTTTCAATTCTAGAAATTTTTGGATCTTCGATAAAATAGAAAAAAATACTTTTTATTTATATGGTTTTAAACATTTATAATTTAAATTTAAATATTTTTAATTGAAATTAAATATTTTTCACAAAAGTTAATTAAAAAAAGGGGAAAAAATATTCTAAATGGAAAAACGGAGGTAAAAAAGTTAATATGACGGATTATTCAGAGAAGAAGGGAGACAAAAAAGAAGTTTCTATTCATCAGTGATCTAGAACTGAATTGATAGGGAAAAAATTTAAAAATTCGTACTTGAAACGTAAGATTGATGACTTGTTCCCCGTCGGACCATTTAACAGCCATTCGTTGAACTGCGGACTTTTGTCCTTCGTTGTACTGAAAATAGAAATTTTTTTATTTATTAGTTTCTCGATTTTAATCTCGAGCGAATTGAAAAGAATACAATTTCGGTATTTAAATTTATTTCCCAAATTTTATTTCATTTACTATTTTATTTTTTATTTACTATACTTTATTTTTGTTCACTATTTTATTTTTTTAACATTTCATTTTACTTACTTGTTCATTTTATTTACTCTTTTATTATTTTATTTTCTATTTTATTTTTTACTGTTTTATTTTATTTGCTGTTATTTTATCTATTATTTTATTTTTTTACTATTTCATTTTATTTACTATTTTCTTCTTTTTACTAATTTATTTTAATTAGGTACTATTTTATTTTATTTACTCTTTTTATTTTTTTACTATTTCATTTTATTAACCATTTTATTCTATTTTACTAATTTATTTTAATTACTATTTTATTTTACTTTCTCTTTTATTTTTTTACTAATTTATTTTATTTACTCTTTTATTTTTTTATTATTTTATCTTTTAACTATATTTAATATTTACTGCTTAATTTTTATTTTATTCACTTTTTTATTTTTTCTGCTACTTTATTTACTATAAAAATCGAACGCACGCGGAGATTCGAACCCAGGACCTACGGACCGCCAGACAAACGTTCTAACCACTACGCTACGGACGCTCACCTCACTAACTATTTTATTTCCTATTTCATTTTATTCCCTATTTTCTTTTATTTACTAATTACTACCTTATTCACAAATTGAAATTCACTCACCAAACCCCCTTTTTCTTCAATAAATAATTCACCTGACAAATTTAATCTCAATTTAATTAATTAATTCAAACTCCAAGGGAACAATATACAAAAATTTTCCGGAAATTAATAATTCCATTTCAATAAATTTTGTATTGTCAATTTTTTTCCTGTCTCTCTCTCTTTCTCTCTTGAAAAAAAAATTAAATTTAACGCGTCTGGGTTCGTGAACCGGTTAGTAAACGTTTGTAAAAAAAACAACTGTCACGTGGATTGCCATGCAATGCGCGTTTAAATCTGTCAAAAACGAAGAAATTATATATATGTAGATTGGTACATGTACGTAAACGAATATATGCAAAAAAAAAGAATAAAAAAAAAATTAAAAATAAAAAAAAATAATTCAAGCAACAAGGGGGAAAATGTCAGTCGAAGCACGCGATTCGTAAAACATTTACGACTCACGTTCTATTCTCTTTTTTTTCCGCATTTCGACACACGAGGCCTTCACCATATGCAAAGTAACATTGACTTCCGCAAATCCTCGCCTCACTTTAAATTCACTCCTATGATTAAGTTTTGCTTTTTACTATTTTGTTAATTTATTATTATTATTTTCATTATTTTTTAAATTATTTGTACCTATTTTTAATATTATCAGTATTTTTATTATTAATTTATTTTGCTTTTTTATTATTATTATTATCATTTATTTTATTAGTTCTTTTTATTATTTTTTACTTTTTTTATTTTTTATTATTACAATTATTAATATTATTTTTTTTAATATTAAATTTTTTTTAAATACTAAATAAATAAAAATAAATAAATAAATTGTTAAATTACTATTTTTTTCATTTTTTGTATTATTAGTATTTTTATTTTTATTTTCACTATTTTTATTATATTTTTGCTATTTTTAATTCCTATTATTATTAAATTATTTTTTTTTATTATTTTCTTTAATATTTTCATTACTTTTATTATTAATATTTTTGTATTGTTATTTTAGTGAAATTATTATTTTTATTTATTATATTTCGTTAAAATTTGAATTTTGTTATTGAGAGCAAAATTTGTTTTTTGTTAATTTAGAAAATTAATTTCTTTCTAAAGTAATTAAAAAATTATTTATTTTTAATTTTATTCTTGATTCTTGTAAAGTAAAAATATTTAAAAAGAAAAAAAAATTCGTTTCTTTTGACGTTCAATAACTTTAGGGAAATTTTATTTAATTAATAATCGAAATAATTATTAACAAAAAATAAGTTAAAAATTATTTTTTGAATTATTATTTTTTTATAATTATAAATATTAGTCCAAAACTAAGAAGTTTATTAAAAGCAATAATTGTAGATAATATTAAAACATAATTTTCAATAATAATTATTAATGTAAACATTAATAAAAAGAATGTAAACATTAATAAAAAAAAATGTAAACACTAATAAAAAAAAAAGAATGTAAACATTAATACAAAAATGTAAACACTAATAAAAAAAGAATGTAAACATTAATAAAAATAATTTAAACATTAATAAAAAAATATAAACATTAATGAAAAATTAATAATTAACAAAAACAGAAAAATAATTAAATTAGATATTCAACGGTTAATTATAATATAATTATTCTTCACTATTTAAATTTACTAATTAAAAGAAATGAAAAATTGTATAAAATTGCTTTTGAATGAAACAATAAAAAAAAAAAAGAAAAAAATATCAGTCCGGAACCTGGCGCCATCCAGGAAGTTAATATCATTGGTCGGTAAAAACGAAATCACAAATATAATTTTTTCAAACTTAAATAAACTGATATTGCAAAAAAAATTAATTTATATTGTAAATTTAATTAAATTAAATAAATTTATATTGAAAATTTTAATAAATTAAGTAAATTTCATAAAAAATCCAATTAAAATGAAATTAAATTAGATAAATTTAATTAAAATTCGATTGAACTTTAATTTGAATTAAATAAATTCAATTAAATTTAAAAATAAAATAGAAAATTTTTTTTCGTCTAAAAAATTTAAAATCATTTTTAAAAATTTTTCATTCAAAATGCGTTGAAAAAAAAATTAATTTTCTCCTCACCTTTCTGATTCTTCACTGCTATTTGATAATTGTGACATGCCCGAAAGACTAGAAGACGACATCAATTCCTTTGTTCTTTTTCCTTCCAATTTTCTGGTCGAACTATTTTTTATTTGTGATAACATTGTGAATCTGTTGAAGAAAAGGAAAAAAATAATTAAATTTCAAATTTTCATCAAATTTCTTTTTTACTGAAGAAAGAAAAATAATTTTTTCCTGACGTAAAAAATAACTGGAAAAATAAATTAATAAATAAACTAATAAATTAAATTATAAATTAAATTAAATAATTATTAAATTAATTATTAAAATATTATTATTATATTATTATTATTATTATTATTATTATTATTATTATTATTATTATTATTATTATTATTATTATTATTATTATTATTATTATTATTATTATTATTATTATTATTATTATTATAAATAATAATGAAAAATTTTTTTAATTTACTATCAGGGTGTCTAGTAATTTAGAAATATAAAATTCCCGGGGTTTTCCCGGTTTTTTCCCGGTATGTAAATAATTTTCCCGGATAATTGAAAACTAAAATTTTACAGTAAATTTAATCGTAATATTTGTAAAACTTATAATAAGAATTGTATTGTGATTTACTTGACGGTAATTTCATGTTTAAAATCAAAAACAGGTGTCGCATCACTGTAAAAATTTGGCACAAGCTTCCCAGTGGGCAAAAAACCATCATTGTTTTAAAAACGTTCCAAAAATGTTTTTAGAACGTTTCATGTCTGCCAAATAACGTCCCAATAACGTTATATGTTTCTAAAACGTTTTAAAAGCAATGGAACGTTTTTGGAACATTATTTGGCAGACATGAAACGTTCTAAAAACATTTTTGGAACGTTTTTAAAACAATGATGGTTTTTTGCCCACTGGATTGTCACATCGAAAATCATTTCCCATATAAGTTAGGTCTTAATTGGACAATAATAAAACATTGTCTAATATACGAAGAGAATCAATATACAATTCGAAATTGAAAAAAAATTAAGTTAAGCGTTGAAAAAATGTAACTATTTTTTCCAACAACATAATAAAGTACTTCATAAAAAAATTCTCGGATTTAAAAGAAAATTCCCGGGGGTTTCCCGGTTTTTCCCGGGAAAAAAAAATTCCCGGGGTTTTCCCGGTTTTTCCCGGATTCCCGGTTCGCTAGACACCCTGACTATTATCAAAAATTTATTTATAACAATTTTATTTTACAAAAATTTGAATCTTGTATTAAGAATATTAAAAATAAAAAAATTATTTACATTTTTTAAAATGGCGAAATATTTCCAACAATAAAAATCTATTAATTTTTTTTTTTTTGTAGGAAAAGGAAAATCTAAATTTTTCCACAGATATAAAGGTAAATTACACGAAGCTATCGCAAATTTCAAGGGAATCAACATTTCTAGGATTGTAAAAAAAAGTGATAAAATTGAACCCCCGACTTTTTGATACATAAAAGTCGGTCAGTTTTGTTAAAAATAGAATTTACCTTGACTATTAAACTATATATTTTTTTTGTGCATAAAATTGTCCCCTAGGGAAAAAAAATCTATTCTATTATATTATTTTCGTGCATTTGGTGTCTGATCGTAAAGTCAGACTCAGCATTATTGATTTCCTGATGGACGTAAGTGTAATGCATAATAATTTTTTCTAAATAAAAAAAAAAAGTTTAGTATCTTTGCCAAATTGATTTTGTAATTATTCTTTAGAATTTATTTGAAACTAAATTTTTAATTTCTTCTATTTAAATAATTTAATTATTAAATCAATTAATTTAATTGTAAGCAAAATGAAGTTTTGTATTTTTTAAAACTTTTTACTCATGAAAATAAATAAAGATAAAAATAAAATAATTAAAAATATTTTGAACTAAATTTTTATTTTCACTAATTAAATTATTAAGTCAATTAATTTAATTCGAAGCCAAAAAATTTTAGTATTTTTTCAAACTTGTTACTTATACAAAAATAAATAAAAATAAAAAAAACGAATTGATTTCAAAAATATAATATTTAAAAATTAATTAAAAATATTTTGAACTAAATTTTTACTATATCTCAAGGCAATATTTGAAATAATTTTTATAGAAAAGAATTTTTATATTAAAAATTAAAAAATAAATCTTTTCCTAAAATTTTTTTTTATTATTATTATTATTTTACAACTTTGCTAAACTTTGCGCAGACTACAAATCAAAGGAACTTGTTTTTATGGAATTTAAGCGTGGGGGGAAATGCAGTGCAGCAGTAGACACGAAAAAAATTTAAATAAATAAATAATTAATCGTCAACATTTAAAATTTAAATCTAATTTCTATTTTTCTATGTTTACCTCTTTTTTTTCTATTTCAAAACATTCAAAACTAAAATAAAATATCGTCCTGCATTTGAAAAATTTTTTAATTTAGTTAAAAATTAATTAAAAATTTTAAATAAAATAATAATAATAATAATAATAATAATAATAATAAATAATTATAAATAATAATTTAAATTTAATTCAAAAATAAGTTTAAAAAATTCAAATTTTAAAACTTTCGAAAAAATGAATTTCGCCTTTTTTTAATTTTTCTGTACGCCGAGAAAAAAATGACGATAAAGATTTTTTCCTATTCATTTTTTTTTTCAATTTTTAAATTACATTTTAATGACAGGCATTTTTTTATTTAGAGTGTTAAAATTATTTCTCTAGATTTATAAATAGATATTTTCTTATTCTAATTATTCTAATATATAATTAACGTCGAAAAATATTAAATTTCGCAAAAAAAAAAAATTTAATCATGAAGGAATGCATTCAGAATGTAAATGTAAATAAAGACGATAATTATTTGTCAAAACGTCGAAAATCATTACGACTAAATAAATATAAATCAGAAGAAATTAATAAACACGACGAATTTGTAATAGAAAAAAATATCACTTCATTACCAGTGGAAATTATTTTGAAAATTTTCAACTTTTTACCACAATCAAATCTAAAAATTTTGGAGCATGTTAATAGACATTTTCAACAAATCTCGCGTGATCCAATATTATGGAAAGTTTACAAGGTAAAATTAAGAAAAAATTAAAAATACCTTTTACTTCTTGAATTTCAATTCGATTAAAACATTTTTAATTATTTCATTATTATTATTATTATTATTATTATTAAATTTTTTTTTATTAATAATAAAAAAAATTATTATTATTATTATTATTATTATTATTATTATTATTATTATTATTATTATTATTAATTCTTCTTATTTTTCCATATCATAAAAAAAAATTATTGAGTAAAAAGTTAGAAATTAATTTTTTTGTTATTATTTAGATAGAAAACAACGAGGACAACAATAATTTACAATTTAAAAATATTATTCAAGAACTTAAACGGATGACTTTTCTTGAAAAGTGTAGTTTAATCAACAATATCGGTTGTGATCGAATTCTCCATCAAATTTCATTAAGTAATAAAAATCTCAAGAAACTCCATATCAGAAATCGAAATTTGAGAGGTTAGAAGAAATTATTATTCTATAATTTTAAAGTTTATTTGAAAAAAATTATTTATTTAATTATTTATTTATTGAGGCAATAGAAAAAATTGTAATAATAACTTTTAGATATTAAAATTTCAATAAAAATTATAAATTTTCAATTTATTTAAAAATTATTTCAATTTAACTGCATTTTAAAAATTTCAACTATTTTTTGCATATGTTGAAAAAAATATTAATTCATTTTTTAAAAATTTAATTTTAGATATTTTTAATAGTTTTTTTTTGTTTTTAAATGAAAATTTTTAAAGTTTTTTGAAAGAAAAATTACTTTTTGAGAAAATATACTGAAATTGTTATAAAAAAAAAAATTTTCTTACCAAAAAACAAATAGGATTAGCGTGGGCTCATTATTTACGTTCAACGAGATTGACACAATTACTTGAGAGATGCCATAATTTACATACAATAACTATTGATAAATGTGCTTTGAGGGGATTAAAAATCTATAAAATACTTGGTGGTTTTGGATTGAAAATGAAAATAATTAAAATCCCCGCAAATAAAACTCAATTACGGTATAATATTTTTCTCATTATTATTAATATGAAAAAATAAAAAAAATTTTATTTATTAATATAAATAAATATTTTTTTAATATTATTATTATTTTCTGCAATTTCACGAGAAATGAAACAAAAATAATTCCAAAATTGCAACTCTTATTTAGTTTTTATTATTTTGTAAATTAAATATTTTAGAAATCATTCTTTTTGCAACAAAAACGTATTATTAAAAAAAAATATTGTATTTATTCAAATTTAAATCATACTATAATTATTGCAATTTTAATTATTTATTCACAATTTATTTACAAATTTGTACCAATAATAATTATTATTTATTATTATTTTTATTATTATTTATTATTGTTGTTATTTAATTAAATACTATAATTTTTTCTCACTCCAGAACATTTATTGAAAATTCGACTTATATTAAGGAAAAAGATCGACAGATGATATTTAACTTGACTGCATATGATCGTCAAAAAGAATATGTTCTATTGAGATACGAATCTCACACAATCAGAATCTACTATAATAGTAAGAAAATTTTGTTTTTTTCTTTCAATTTCTATTTTTGTTTATCGATAACATTTTTTTTTATTTATTTTTTTTTTGCTAAATATTAATTTGCAAATAATGTGAATTCCTTAAAATTACCAATACAGCAGAAAATATTAATTTAGAAATTTAATCTTTAATAATTAATTAATTATTTAATTTACAAGTTTATTTTCAAAAAAAATTTCCACAGCTATAATTTAATTAAAAATATCAAATATTTCTTTTAGATTGCTATCCACAAGTAATGCAGGTCGACATTACTTCGTACGAATAACATCAACTTAAAAAGAGAAGTCCAATAATTATTTCATTTTAGAAAATAATTATTTCCACTTTAGAAAACTTTACGAAAAAAAAACAAAAAATTATTAACAATTGTAGTGGTTTTTGTAATAAAAAATGATTTTCTAAAGTTTTTATTTAAAGTTACCTCATGTAGGAAAAATTTTCAAAAAAATACAAAAAAAAAAATTTCAAGATTATTTATAATTTTTAAATTTGATTTTTTGTTGTGAAATAATAATAATAATAATCATCCACGCATATAATATGACCTAAAAATAAAATTGATTCTGTACTCACGAAATGTATAGTGTCTAATACATATTTAAAACGTGGAACGGCAGAAATGAGAAAAGTAGAACGAGACTAGACGATTCAAACTAGGCTTTTATTCAATAATTAACCTGATATTCAAGGTGGAAGAAAAAATTTCTTTCATTTTATGACAAAAGTTTACAAATAAAAAAATAAAAAAAAATAAAGAAAACTTAAGAAAAGAATAAAAATACAATTATTTATGCTGTATTTATAAAATACATTTTTATATTTAAAAAACTGATCTCGAATTCGTAATCAGCGACCGCAAAAACCTCCAAGGGGCAAATTTCGAGCGAATTTGTCAAAGTTTCTAAAAATTCGCTCGCCATATTGGATCCGCCATTTTGAATTTTGAAAATCTGACCTTAGATTCATAATCAGCGACCTGAAAAACCCCCGAGGGGAAAATTTCGAGCGAATTCGTTGAGTTTCTAAAAATTCGGCCGCCATATTGGATCCGCCATTTTGAATTTTGAAAATCTGACCTCAGATTCATAATCAGCGATCTGAAAAACCCCTGAGGGGCAAATTTCGAGCGAATTCGTTGAGTTTCTAAAAATTCGGCCGCCATATTGGATCCGCCATTTTGAATTATGAAAAACTGACGTTATATTCGTAATCAGCGACCCCAAAAACCCCCGAGAGGCAAATTTCAAGCGAATTCATTGAGTTCCTAAATTTAGTAAGAGTTCGTTGAGTTCCTAAAAAATCGATCACCATATTGGATCCGCCATTTTGAATTTTGCAATACCTACTTCAGAAATAGCAAAAAAAACTTGTTTTTTAGCACCCTGTAGTTGGCATCAACGCAGAGCATCAAAAATTAATTTATTGGTTTTAGAAATGAAAATTTCATTAATTTTCATTGTTTCATTTAACGTGGAAAATGAAGAAATATTCAGGACCCTTTTTCTAAATTCAAACAACAGTTGTTGTTACTATTTCTCTTTTTTTTATTAAAGTCGAAACGGGTCGAGGCAGATAACACAAGAAGATCGTAAGATATCTATTTTCACGTGTACATAGTACAGTACAGTCTCTAAAAACCACATGCACGTAATCCCCTCACGAATAGGTAAATATATTCCTTCGCGTGTCTTTAGCGTCACGTTTCCGCTTTGATTTGCTTGCGTGGCAAGTGAATTAATTCTCCCCCTTAATTTTCAAAGTCGACACTCTCGCGGGATTTTTTGGGAGTTTCCAAAAATTTCATTAATTAAAACAGGGAAATTAGATTTGACTCCAGAAATCGGATTTTCACAACATGTAATACTATTTTCGTTTTAAGATAAAATAATAAAAGACTTCGTTAATGAACAAAAGACGCATTTTGACGTAAGGTTGACAGCCGTATAGACACTAAGCGACTTTTTGCAAATGCAAAAACTTTGATTTTGGTCTAAGTGCGTTAGGCTCACTATCATTCTTTAAAGTAATAAAAAAGCTAATTTCTTTTTTGTTAATTCTAATGTGCCAATGAAAAAAGGACCGTGAGTAAAAAAAGTTAAACTATACCAGAAATAGAATATTTGTCTATTATTTTCTATAGGCAAAAAGGATATTCGTGATTCGATCAAAAACTGGCACAATAATTCATGTTAACGTGAAAGTACTCTGTATTTGGCCGTATCAGTATGGAAAGTGATGTAACGACATTACCCATATGCGCCTGTTCCTGCTATTTGTCTAGTCAGTAATAGTCGCTCTCGTTATGTGACTAACTCTATTATCACCTTTTGCCTCAATTCTTTTCCAAACCAATTTTTTTTTCCCTCTAAATATATATACTTTTTACAGCAATAACCAGAACCACACGGTATTTGTAGTCATACAAAGAGCTTCTCAATTTTTAACAACTATAATTATTTAAAGCTCCAAAAAGTAGCATTTTCAAACATTTGGTCTCCTATTTAGTTACTGTATCTTCTTTCTCTTTTTTCTTACTATTTAGAAGCAAAAAAGTAGAACACCATTGATATGAAAACAAAAAATGGTAATAACAATAAAAAAAACTGCTGCTAAGTTTTATCACTTGTTTTGTAACCCAGGTACCCGTACAGGACTTTCGTTTTTCTTTCTATGCAATAATATTTAGTTAACGTTTGCTTTCTTCCTTTTTCCAAAATAAATAACATGTCTTTCTTTACCTAATTTGCATATCTACTCTTTTTGTATAAGGATCCTCTTTTCAAAATGAATAACAAGACCAAAGTCCAAAGTTCCTTTACCAAAGTTGCATATCTACTCTTTTCATACAAAGATCCTCTTTTGGAAAAGAATAACAAGATTGTCTTTCTTTACCTAATTTGCATATCTACTCTTTTCATATAAAGATTTTCCGAAATAAAATGGGTGCTGATAACTCTTGTATCAAAAACTTTGGAGTTGTGTCACCATTAAGGTGACGCCTTCGTCAAAAACAGAAAATCCGTTGACCAGCATTCCGCAAGTAGTGCTAAAGTAATCACTAGTAATCACGAAGTAATCACTAAGTAATCACTAGTAATCACTAGTAATCACTAAGTAATCACTAAGTAATCACTAAGTAATCACTAAGTAATCACTAAAGTTATCACTAAAGTAGTTGTTTCCAGTAGCGAACAATCCTCAAAAACATGAAGTCAAACCAACATTCCGGATTCCGCAAGTACAGCATCTACATCACTAAATCTCCTCTCTTCTACCACCCGACAATCTACAAAAAAACAATCAACAAAATAATTATGATTACATACTGTGGAGAAAAGTATAGACCTATCAATGAGGTACACGCGAAAATTAATGATCAATTAACTGACAATAAATTACAGCAGTCGATAGAATCTTATTGAATGGTTATCGTATAAAGATATAGTAGCTTCTAATTTACGATTGCAAGAGAGAGTTGATTCTATAGAGGAAAGATAATAATGTGGGTAGTACGTATATATCGAGAGGGATTAACTCCTGAAATGAAAAGTGTTCACACCAACGTATATAAGAGAATAATAGTGTATAAATACGTTCTCATTTAGAACTTATTGCAGTGGTGTGCCTAGATTATACTCTTGCTTGAACATTCACCTACTTGCTGCTGCTGCTTTGCCGATCAGAAGTAGATAAAGTCTAATCGCAATCAACGACCCAATCAGCCTTCCAGTTGCCACATGCAACGCTCGTATATTTTCACGGGGCATGGCTTTAAATCCGGAGGCGTTGATTACTTTGCATGATGTTTAATTTGCAAACCTTCCATTAAGTAGTAATCAATTACTGAAAAATTCAAAATTAGGTGCAATTCGCAAAATTTGCGAATTGCACCCAATTTTGAATTTTTCAGATAATTGATGGTTAAGAGTTAACCATTAACTTTTTGTATTTTCAAATTCAAAACAAGAAAAAGAGAAAAGAAAAAAAAAATTCGCAAATTTTGCAAATTGCACCCAATTTTGAATTTTTCAGATAATTGGTGGTTAAGAGTTAACCATTAACTTTTTGTATTTTTAAATTCGAAACATAAAGAGAAAAGAACCATAACGATTTAGAAGAAGAAGAATCATCATTAGAAACAGAACCTTGTTAGAATCCCGATTTTTGCTCTGGACAACAGTTCCAAAATTCAGAACAAGAGAAAGAAACAAAAAGGAATGGAATGGACCTCATCAATCAGTTAAAATCCGATTTTTGCTCTGGACAACAGTTCCAAAATTCAGAACAAGAGAAAGAAACAAATGAACGGAATGGACCCATCAATCAGTGGAACGATCAAGGTAGACCATCACGCTCAATTTTTATCTAGGTATGAAAATCTTGTAGCCGAAAATATAATAAAACTTTATGAGGCAAAGTTATGGAAAAGTTGCATGATGCACGCAATATTAACCAGGCTTTCACTCGATTACAAACTTGTGGTTTGGTTATTCAGTTGTTGGGGGAAGAGAAAAATTAACTTCTCGAGCTTCAAACTCTATTATAATTTCTCCAAGTCAAGTGATAGACTAAATCGATTTTTCTAAGCACAACAACAACGGGAAGTGGGCGATTTTAACAAGGCAACACTTCTCTAGGCGAGCGTCAAAGAAATACTTAACACAGAAACATATCATTTTACAACAGTAGCTAATGTATACTTTCAGAGTTTCAGAATTTTAATAATACCGGGGTTAGTATTACAAACCACGAAACAATTTTCTCTAAGATTATTTTTATCTCCAGTTGCATTTCTGTTAACTTTAAAGGAATAATTTTAACAATCGCGATAGTGCCCGAAATTTTCTAAACTCTTTGGGGTGTGAGGTGTCGACTATAAGTTTACTGACTCTGGAGGTTCTTATGTTCTATATTCTGGAGGTTCTTATGTTCTAAATTCTGGAGGTTCTTATGTTCTAAATTCTGGAGGTTCTTATGTTCTGTATTCTTATGTTCTAACGGAATTTTCTTTAGAAGACCATTAAGAACGGAGCATAAATCAAAAAGCGAACTATTATGTAAATTAGAGTTCAGAGTCAATTTTCTCATTCAGATTAGACAAAGTACGGTGTTTAAAGGCGAATCAATAAGTGAGGCATTAAAGCTTTCGAACAATTTGGCTCGAAAGGAACGTTATCTATGCAAATTATTGGCTTCTGATCACACTTGTATACTCATACTCGCTTAGAATGGCTTCTTCATTCATGAAAACCGCACCAACAGGTATTATATTCGCCGAAGCAACAGACTTCT